TCGTGAAGCCCGTTATTGCACAGCTTATCAAGGTTGATACAAGACACTCACAACCTTATGTTTGAAGTAAATGAATTTCTATTTTACTCGTAACATAATTTTTAGAGTTGCCGAACGATTCCGAAGACAGTCTGACAAAACAATTTTCAAAATGGCGGGCTGAGATGATCCAACGACTGTTCCGCGAACGAACAAATTCGCACACAAACAGCCGTCGTAAATGTTGTTTTTATCCTTGTCCAAGATGTTTACATTATTTAAAACATTGCACAGCTACACCAAGTTTCGGGAAATCGATCATAAGTTTATTGCGCAGCTGCGCAACAAATTTGTTGCGTAAGTCTTACGCATGGCACATAGTGCGCACTTTTTCGTGAAATCGGCTGCTGGTGACTCTGAAAAGAAGCAATGGAACACGAGGTGGTGCTCCCCCTCCCCCCCGGCCCGGCCCGCCCCCCCCCCCCCCAATTCTTATCTCTCATTTTATTGATGTTCTACAAAACCAGAGAGGGACAGGGCATTAGTAGCAGCAAGTCAACAACAGTCATCTTTTTGGTCAAGTGGTTATGGTGTTCGACTCACGTGCCGTGGTAGGGTTCGAACCCTGATAGGAAACAGTGGTGCTTGTGTTCTTGGGCAAGACACTTTACTACAATTGCCTCTCTCCACATAGGAGTATAAATGGGTACCTGGAAGGGAGAGGCCAGAATGCGCTGATTGCGAGCTGCTGGGTGGCCTGATGAACAGGGGTAATAGTTGTGAAGCGCTTTGAGACCTTTTGTATAAAGCGCTATATAAGCACCACATTATTAATATTATTATTATCTTCACTCTCTCTTCTGGTTAAATTAATAAAACAAAAATTGACACTTTTTGGGGGGGGGGGGTCATGGTCCCCTTCAACCCGTTGCAGGACGTCGAGATCTTGCCAACTCTGAATCTGCCGCGAGGAATAATTTATGGATATATAAAAGAAATAACACGTTTGTACACTATCTGGTCAAGTATTCAACAAACTTTATTCTTATTCTCACTCATTTGTAAATATATGCATGAAATGAATATTTTGGTGGCTAAAAAAGTTACATGCACGTCGTGCATGCTCAGTAAAAAAGCTACGTGCACAAGCAAAAATCTACGTGCACTGGTGCATGTGTGCACCGGGTAAATCGAGCCCTGTGTGTGACGCACGTACACTAGGGGATTTGTACTATGTACACGCAGTATAGTACGGCCGTGTGTCATGGCAAAATTGCAGTCAGGCAAGATGGCGTCAGTCGGTCACCCCCAACTGTACTTTCTTTGCCGGTGAGGGGGTACTTGTGAACGGAGCGGATAGCTAATATACAATGGTCTAAATACATGTATTATGCAAATGAACTGCATGCACATCAACATTGGGGGGGGGGGGGGTGTGGACTGCTGGCTGCCCCCTCCGCATCCCCTGGATCCTCTACTGCTGTTATTGACATACATGTACCTGTGGTAATTCTACAAGCATGATCGAGCCCCATTTGCATATTTTTTTCCATTACAAAAATTGATATCAACCCCCTGCACCCTATATTGACCAGTAACGTAGCATAATCAGGAAAATGGACTCGTATTCGCCCGTGCTTTTGCCAGTGGCAGATCGGAAAGCAAGATCAAAATGTAGCCATTCCCCTGAATTTTTCATAGATGCACAATTTATCACCAAGGTAACGGTGTCGTGGAATGCCCGACGGCCTAGTATTGAATCGCTTGTAAATATGTCTTCAGAACAGTCTTTGAAGGTAGATTAGACAATTTGCAGCTATCCAAAAAGTAATTGACAAACTTATTGTTGAAAATCTTACTTGGTTTAAAGATAGTAATGGCACTAAACTCCGTGAAATTATTCTTTCTGGCGTGCTGTCAATTTGAAGGAAACAATAAAAGAAGGCCATTTCCATGATGCATAAAGTAAAATGGCGAGTCCGTGAATGGGTGCGTGCAAGCATTAACATGATGCACACGGGCGCGTGGTTGCTATTATTCGTCAGTTCAGTGCAAGACGTAGCTGCAATCGGCTGCATGAGAACGTGTCCCGGTCGCTGATTTCGAGCGCAATTCAACACATCCTAAAATTGTTTTCTCAAAATATACAGCATTTACTGAGCTGAAAGTTCATCAGGTTAGTTTTTAAGCACCCGTTTTTAGATTTTGAGCACTATTTTTGCTTCAAATGAAAAAAAAATGCACAAATGACAAATGATCTACCCTAACATTTCAGACTTTTCCATTTGCCAGGCTTAAGTTTGAAAAGCACGCGGCTCAAGATACATATCCGTTTCCATGCATTAGGCCCCGGATTTGTTGTTGCCTAGTGGTTTTTGGTAATCATCTTAATAGGTTTTAAGCCGAGCTGACTTCCAGTGATGCAGTGAATTTTGAAGAAGGCTATTGAAAGCCTTGAAGATGTCTTAATGAACATTGGCAATCTCTCTCCCCTAAGAGGTCATCCATCATCACAATCACTCGATGGATGCCTCGAAGGAATGGAAATGTAAATATCCTGCATACAGGCAGTGTTTTTGCCGAGTACATTTCCATGTTCCATGATAGTACATGTATGAATACCTTGCTAAAAGTATGAGTTCAAGTACGAGTGTGCATACAAGGCTCTTGTTTAAAGCTATAGTCCATCATTTGTAATTAGTGCCTTTTGTTCGTTTGAAGCAACAAAAGTGTTCAAAATCTAATGAAGGATACTGAGCAACTAACCTGATGAAGTTTCAGCTAAGCTTCAGCTGTACATTCCGAGAAAAGCAGCATTCTAAGATCTCAATTTCAAATCAAAAGTTACTGAATCATGTTTTGAATTGTTTTGAATTGCAGCTATACGCGGCATCGCGCCCTGATCCGACGAATTATAACAACCGCGCGCGCGTGTGCGTCGTTCCAATACTTGTGCGCGCTGCGCTGAATAACAAAACGAACTACTAATTTAAATTTTCCTACGGTGCTTCTTAAGAATCACCGTTGGAGATGCCTTCTTTCGTTGATTACTTCAAAATGACAGCTTCCCAGAAAGAATAATTTCACAGGGAGTTTAGTTCCCTTACTATCTTTCAACCAAGTTTGTTTTTCAACAGTAATTACGCCAGTTACTTTTCGGATGGCTGCAAATGATGGACTATAGCTTTAACTACAAGTAAGAGTACGAGTATCAGTACATTTTTGCAAGAATGAGTACATTTCCAAGAGTACGAGTACAACTATATTTCCATGAGTACGGTACAAGTACAAGAATTTTTTTCTGTGAGAACGAATACATTATAAGCACGAGTATATTCTCACGAGTGCGAGTATGAGTGCGGGAAATGTGCTCGAGTACCAGTTCGAGTACAGGTACTGCAACACTGGGTGTAAGGACTCGGTCAAGGCTTTCATGAGTGAAAGACAGCTCGTTTCTTGTCACTCGCTCACCACTCATGTCATTGAGGAATTTGTTGAGTACACATACAATATGAGTTGGAGTACATTGTCACAAGTACGAGAAATGTGCTCGAGTACGAGGATAATGTTTGCATGAGTGATTAAATGCCAAAGGCAACTCGTTTCTTGTTACTCGCTCACGAATAACGTCATAACAATATCAGTTGACATAGTACTTTCCTCAACTTACATCTCTGCGACCCAAGTTTGAATCGCACCTCGGCAAAGACATGGATTGAATTTAGGCCCCATCTAATTCCGTGTTTTTTGTGTTTTTTTTTTACAACCTTGAGATTTGAACTTGTTGCACGGACATGACGAATTGGTCTATTAATTGTCCTCCATAAAATGGGATAATCTGAGCTGTGTGCAAGGCAAATGATGAGTAATCGCCATAGCAACCATTTTTGGTGCTAAAATTTACTTAAATTGAGACATATTTTTAATCCCATTAACAAGAGCTCTTGTTATGTTTATCATCTAAGAGTAACAACAGTTGAAAGTTGCAAATCTTGTGTTGTCTTTAAACAGCTGCGAGTCATCAGTCATCATTACATGACTGATAAAAAAAAAGTCCCATCGCATTCCAAACATGAATTAAAAGAGGCTGATCGACGTACACCAAAAATGCCCAGCCTGCTGTACGCGAATGCAGGCAGCTGTTCACAGCACACAAAATTCAATTTTACGTCCACGACACATTACTCACCAGATGCTGCATCCTAAAGGAATATTCTTGGAAAAACCTAAACGGAAAACCACAAATTTCTACCCCTCCTGGGGAAACAAAATGTAATTAACAGTCTCTTCAGTCTATTGCAAAGGAACCAGTTAAACACAGCATCCCTTTCACATTACATGAATTATTATCAAGGTTGGGATTTTTTCCTCAGCATGATATTGTCTAGACCGTGCCATGTTGTCTTCAATCATACTTGTACTCCTTGCTTCATTTTTTTTCCCCTTCTTGTTGACCCACACAGATGCTTCCGTTTGCATTCCTTTAAGGAAGTCGGGTTTTTTTCCCGTCTTTGTGAAATTTCCGTTTTGCCCTTGGGTGATTCCGGATGTTTGTGCGAATTGGGTTTTTTTTCTTTCGTTCTTTTGTGTGTGTCTGTGTGTCAGTCACGGCTGCAGATGCTGTGTGGGTGACTAAAGCAAGACAATTAAACTCTGTTTTTGAGGGGAAATTTTTTTTCAAAATGACATAAACTCTGTTGCAAGGTTAGCCTTTAAGCCTGCTTCACAATTATTGCTGATTTTGATAATTTTAATGAAAACCCTGTCCATGCCATAAATTGTAATGACCTAGAAAACGGACGTTTTGAAAAGAAATAGCATCAAAAATTCAGAAGGCTTTAAAATATTCAGTTTAACAGATGGTGTCAAATATGTTAAAACATTTATGTTCGAACTGGTTTCATTACTTAGATTGGCCCTGTTTCTATGCTGACCCTTCCCTGAAACCCGCCTCTTGACCTCTGACCCTTTGTGTCCTTCACCTTTGACCCATCCATCTCTCCTCTTTGTCTGCTTCACAGGTTAGAAAATTTGGAGAAGAAGATCGTCGTGGACAGTGGGGAGACGCCCGGTGTGGTCTACGAACTCAAGCACAAAGTGGAATACTTCAAAGAAAAACTAGAAGTGAGTCTAGTTTTGCTGGTGTGTTTAAAATTTTGTAACTTGAAAAGTACGTGAGTGATTTGAATGATTCTTGTACTGAAAGAAAGCTTATGAATTGGGCTTTCATGTCCTAGATTTTGAAAGTGCTACATGCAGAACTTCACTAAAACAATGGTCCCTGCATTTGGGTTTTGTTATTTTTTACTCACCCTGTACTCTGGGCTGAACAAGATCTCATGAAAAAAATATAACATGTGTTTCTCAGTTATGCACATTTGCACGGCTCTGTGACTGGTCAGTGTTCAGTTCTCATAAAATAATGTCAGTGAAGGGCAAAGTCCAGTATTCAAATGTACATCCCTCTGATGTATTCATTTATGTAAAGGCTACAACAAATTAAGACTCGCCTTAATTGTTTGGAAGGTAGAGTAATTATTTCTTGCCTTATTCTCCTTATGACATGCTAATTTATACTTACAAAACGACACTGAAAGAAAAACACACCCATTAAAACCGGAGGACAGTTTGGTGTTGTCATCATACTATGACGTCTTTTTTTATCCACTTAACGTCTGGCGAGCATAATAAAAAAGGGCAGAAGGGATTCGTTAATGGCGTGTGCTGGCCTATCGATTATTCAAGAAACTGATTACATACATTTGTAAATATTTATAAGTCAGTGCAACAATAGACAAATTGCCTTTGATGAATGCGTCTTGCATTTGCATATTCATCTGAGGATATGCAACAAGTTCCGTCCTTTCATTTATTTAGTACCCAGCTGTCATTGGTGCAAATGACTGTCTGTTCAATATGTGTTGATGAATTGAAATGAAAAACTGAAAATTAAATTTTCACGAAGTGACCTATCTAGATAGGTTGCCGTTCGCGCGCATGAAAATGAAATTTTCACGAAGTGACTTATGGATTTGGCGCCTATTTTTCACCTGGTAATGATGAGTTTTTGCCTTAGAAACAATTTAAAATCATAATTCAACTATCCAACTTTATGATATATAAAAACTGAGTCAACAAAAATTAGTATTCTGGGTGAAAGAGTGGATGCAAAATAGGCCCAACTTCAAACGCGTTTTTCTCGAAATGGCAAAAACTGAGATAGGTCAGATCGTGGTACGATCGACGAATTATCTCTGTATATTAAATTTGAGGCCAAATCCATGGAGTTGCCTGGCTTACTTATTTTTCAAAAGTTCTTTGCACAGAAATTTGTACTGAGCTGCTTCATAGACTTTGGACTTCAAATGTTTGTTTTCTGTTTAATATTGATGAAGCAACATTTATGATTCTGATTTCCTTTGCGTTAATTTGTTTATGTGCAGAGCGTTGAACACCTCAGCTGGCTGGGCCTTTTCAAAGAGGTTGTTGCCGAGTCACAAAGTAGGCTTCCATTCTATCGACAGAGACTAAGGAAAACGGAAGAGGAACAGAGAAGAGTCCTGGACAAATTCAACAAAATAAAGTAAGATTTTCTTGAAGGGTGGGCACACCCCTCCCATGCTTTTATAAATGTTTGCATATTAAGTCACAATGGAGTACCGAAGTGAATACGTCACGCGCAAAAAAATTTGTGTGAAAGACATTAGCGCGTGATTCAGCCCGTGAACCAACACGCGTACTCCATTCGTTTGCACTAGACTTTCTGGTTCTAAATGACGTCACACTTCGGTACTCCATTGTCCAGAATATGATCAATAGTCAAATGATCTATATAGACGAATCCAGGCACGTGATCACTGCACCCACGAGGCCCCCTTCGATGGAGAAACCACTGTGCATGCTATTGTACAAAGCAACTGCCCCGTGACGGATTATCTGGTCAATAGCTAGCACAATGCTTTCACCATTAAAGGGGGCCTCCGTGATAGAATTGATACCGTGCTCAGATTAGTCTGCATACCCAAAGATTACTTCACATGAGGCTGGAACCCCTTTAAAAATTCTCGCCGTAAGCTCTTTGCAGAGTAGTAAAATTTTGTACAAAATTCAGAAACATTCCTGATAATTTAAACAAGAATCAAATGCATCATGGCAAAGGATTTCAAATGAGTTCTTGACCTTTGACCCCTTAGGCATGTCCAGTTAACAGACGACGTCAGGGAATACCTACGGAAGCCCACGTTTGACAACTGGCAGTGGGAGGACGCTGAAATGATGATACTCCTGCAACAAATGTACATAGATCTAGACTTCACTAGCAAATTCAATATTGAGGTATGTAAATGACAGAAATCAATCTAAATGTTTACAATGTGGGGGTGGGAGTTAGGTGTGAATGGTGCTAAAGGCATGGCCTGGGGTGGGGGGGGGCATGCTCCTTTGAAAAATTGTGAAATATTGTGGGGCATATTTGTAGAGAATCTATTGATAAGATACTGTATATTGGCCATATTAGGTAAAAGGTGGCAGGGAAGGGGGCACTAAACCCAACACAACACCACACAAACTGCTATCAAGTGCAAGTCGTAATGGAAAGACTATATGATTCTGGGCGCGTGATCACTAAACACATGAGGCCCCCTTCAATGGAGAAACCATTGTGCATGCTATTGTACAAAGCAACTGCTGCTTGATGGATTATCTGAACAATAGCTAGCACAATGGTTTTGCCATTGAAGGGGGCCGTCGTGATAGAAATGACAGTGTGCCCGGTGTATAGACCATTTTCATGGTGCGGCCATTTATTCCCCCATTCAAATCAACGTAACCAAAGCTAGGCTGCAAGGAAAAATAGTCTGGTTTCTTTTTGCACAAAAAAACATTATTATTCAGTACTGTTATTGGATACAGGGAACATGACTGCAATGGTGGCAGCATGATAAAGGTCTATAGATGCTGCAGCTATGAAGAAAATGTTATTCATTATTGCTGCCATTGAACGGTGCTTGACCACCGTTGGTGCATTGCGCCCCAATTCAGATGAACCCGCAAACAGATGCTTCAGGTTTATGCACTGCCAGTTAGCAATTGAATTTCTGTAAAGGAAATTAAGCCGTGAAGATGGTGTAAATTCAGAAACCTTTTGAAATACTGACAAACATGAGGGCATTCAGGTATTGAAAAATAAATGGATCCATCGGTGCTGAGGGGCAGAGATTGTCGAATCGAGACCAATCATCTTGTATCTGAAAGTCTGAGTGGATGCACGGTCGAGAGGAATTCCCAAAGAGAATCAATCGGCAACTGTTGGCACTTACTCAGAGTCTCATGAGCTAGACCTGGAAATTTGGAGAGAGAAAAAAAGGGGGGGGGGGGAGAACTAGGGAAAAAAGGAAAAAAGAACTAGAGTTTTGGAAACAGATATATTCAAGTGTGTCTGCAGTGCGGCCAGAGCGTGAAAACAATTCCAACAATTTCCTGTGTATAGCGCCATTCATGTGACCGTGACTCAGACCAAGTCCCTGGGAAAGAGTGTGACTCCAGGTCACGATATAAAGACAGAAACAAGGCAAGGCGGCTTCATTACGCTTTGGAGCCGGCGTTTGCATGAATAACCCGGGTTCATTTTGTCAGCGCCTGAGGTTCGGACATACCACTTGGCATACAAATCAACCGATTGCCCAACCGAACATGTTTTGTGTTTTTTTCCCCTCCGCATTTTGATACAGCCTTCCCGCGTGCGTTACATTAGGCAATAGAAGTAGTTTGCCCGCAGTAAAAAGATCTGAATCGCATTTAATAAGATTGCTTTTCGGCGGGGAGTTCTTTTAGCTTGTGTCTTTTCTAGTTTGAAACTGTTTTTTATTTGTCTTGTTTTAATTCCAATTCCTAACATCCACAGGCTAAAATTACTTTGGAGTGTGGAATTCTGTTTCATTTGCAAGTGAAATTGCCCCTATATTTGGTATTAAAATGTACTGCTCTTTCAAATAATATGTTTGCATGCTTCAAATCAAGAGTTTTATTACCAAAACGCGACATATCCATTTGAAAAGGGTGACAATTTTGCACGGTTATGAACTTTAAACAATAAAAACAGTCTAACAGCTGTTTTAAACTTCATTTTTGGCTTTATTATATTCTTAAGTTGTGTTTCAGTATAACAGCCGTCGAAATTGCTTTTGGGCAGACAGGAGAGAGCAGGATTCTAAAAGAGAACAAAATGGCAATGACACGTTTTTGTAATAAAGTCTTCAAATGAAGTATAGAACTTGAATCGGGGAATAAATATGTGCTTGGCCAGTTTTAAACAAGTATGTTTGTAACCGGCTAGGGGCCTGGATGCTGATAATGGCCCAAGGTGAATTGCGGACAAAATTTTTTGGCAATTTTAGACTTGAATCAACTTTATTCCCCAACTTTGTAAGCATCAGATAAAAGATTGTCCCTATATTTTTTTCCTGCTTTTTCCCTATTTTCCCCTGCATTTTTCCTATTTTTTCCCATATTCAGATGCCAGTATTACAGAACTTCCTGTTTGAGGTCTTCAAACACTACAACCACGTACCATTCCACAATTTCAAGCACTGCTTCTGTGTCTCACAAATGGTAAGATTTGAATAGATTTAGATTTGCATAGATTTAGAGTTGAATAGATTGAGATTTCAATAGATTTAGATTTGAATAGATTTAGATTTGCATAGATTTAGATTTGAATAGATTTTAAAACTAGAGTTGAATATATTGAGATTTTAATAGATTGAGATTTGAATAGATTTAGATTTGTAATAGATTTAGATTTGAACAGATTTAGATTTGAATAATTTTGATTTGAATAATTTAGATTTGAAAAGATTTAGATTTGAATAGATTTTTTAAATAGATTCAGATTAGATAAGATTTTGCAAATGAGAACACATTTTCGACATTTCCTTGAAATTGGGTCCCGGTATGTTTCTCCCAGTGTTCTTCAAAATTTCAGAGAATCTGGCAGCAAACTGACATTAATGTTGAAATCTTTGCACAAAATCAAGTTAGCAATAGAGCAATTAATATCTCTTGTTGAGGTTTATTATAAACAGAATAACGGAAGAGGCATGCAGAATGATCTGTCATTTTTTTTCTGATCATGGTACAATAAAATCCTCCCATAGAAATCGTGTACATCTGGTGTGGAAAGGCCTCGTACTCACGTTAATGAAATTTTCACGTGCCAAAAATAATCAATGGCTGTGCCTCTGCAGCCACATCCTGAACAAATAGATGGAAAATGGATTCGAAATAGGCGGAAAATGGATCCTGGCCCTTTGAACAAAACAAAAAAAGGAAGAAGGAACGAAAATGAAAGGCAGAACCGAATCTGTAATGGGATTTTTTTTTTTAATAAAACTTTGTAGAACCATCCTCAATGGGCTCGGTGAAAAGTGTTTTTAAATGCATGGCGACTATTAGGTTGTCATCAATTGGTGAATCATTTATTCTCGGGCTGAGATGGCGGACATGTTTGGAGAAGGCAAAGTGAGTGTTCTCTGTCCGCCGTGGAGTTTCCGAAAGAGACAAGAAATTGTCGGCAAAATGCATAAATCATGGGCGTTGGAGTGTTTTCTTGACAGATCAGGTAGTGAAGGAACATCGGAGGCAATAACCACATGAGCCCATAAAGCGTCAAACCGTGCCAGTAATACAAGACAGCATTTAATTTTTGACTCCTTGGAAGCATAATGGATTGGCTTTCTGTTTTTTAAAGGGTCCATGAAATTAATTTTTCTTAGGAACATATTTCGTGCAACATTCTACTCCTCTTAAATTTATGAAAACTATTTGACATTCCTTTTTGGTAAATTTTATTAACATTTACAAATTTCTATGCTTTTCCGGACAACTGAGGGCGCTGTTGCTGTGATGTCATGTCAGGAAGACACCGTTCAGTTTAGGGGTTTCTGTTCAAATTGTGAAGCCAAAAATTTGCTAATTGAAAACATCAGTGAGAAAAGTTTGCTCACTGGCTTTGCACTGACACGACAAATCACCAAAGAACAAAAAATTAGGCAACTGTTGTTGCTTAAATAACTGTAGCATTGAGGTTTCTACCTGAAATGACATCACACTTTTATGGAATATGGAAATAATTAGCATAAAAACCAAAAAGGCACCAAAATACCCTTGAAAATGGCAAAGCAAAAATTGAAAATAAGGTTAAATGGAATACAAAGTGCATTTGAAGGACTGCATTAAAACAAAAATTACATTGCACGGGCCATTTAACCAAGGTTTTTGATCCATGTTTTTGGACTTTGAAGCATGTACATTTTCTCAAGATGCTGGCTCGCTGAGAAATTGATGATTGTATAAAATGATCAAAGGTTAGGTCTTAGTGGGGGAGAGCAATTGATTTTTGTAGTTGCTTCAAATCCAGCAAGTATTTTGATTTTGGGATTGTGGATTAAGTGTTTAATGATGGATTCATTAATTTTTAAAGGTCGCTGCGATTCTGTTTAAATTAGAACAAAATCAAAACCGAAAATCTGACAGGCTGCTAGAATTTACAAAGAAAGGTGTTAGATATTGTCAGTGTATTTGAAATGACATTGCTTGAGATTTTTCGCAAAAGTGATTGGAGTAGTGTCTTCCAGTCAAAGAACTGTGTCTTCAACTGTGTCTTCCAGGTAGAGAATACAACTTTGTTAAAAAATAGAGTCCCTTTTTTGTTGGCCAAAACACCTAGTTTTGCACGATTTGATCGGTTTGGGATGTTGTCGAATGAGCCAACATGTGTATGGTGATTCCTAGCTTTGTTTTAAGCCCCAGAAGAATGTAATTTGGGTATCAACTGAATTAGGAAGATTCCGTAGAAAACGGTGTCATGCGTTTTGGTAAAACTTCTTAATTCGAACAATCTGTATAAACCATCTCTTCATTGGTAAAATGTTGAGAGTGTCTGCTCCCCTTCACCACGTTTACTCCTCGTGGTCCTTAAGGTATTGCATGTTTGGATTGTTGGAGGATTAAGTGAAGCATTGATACAGACTTGATAAGTAGGTCATCAATTTGACTTTTTACGGGGGCGTCTGAAAACTCTTCAAATCTGTCCAGGTTTAATGACAGTTCCCGATCTATACATCCTCTGTAGATTTGTTTTCATGTTATTTGTCTTCGAATCATTCAATCCAGGGATTTTACCCCTCCACCCACCTGAATGATCTCAGGTCCCTAAAGTCCGTAGAACTCTATCATCTAGCGCACCGATCCACCTCACACGCTGAACACAACTCAGCAAAATGTCACTCCATCTTGGAAATTCAGACTCTTTTTCCTCGGACATCAGACCCGAGGCACTGCCCTCTATCAAGAGGTCATCAGTTGGGCATTCTCCCACCAGTCGCCATAGCAACGCCTCCTTACTTAAAGCTTTAGCCAGAAGGCGACTTACACAAATCACATGCCTTGTTTCATCCAGTTCGGCAAGGCCCATCCATTAAACATATGTCCCCAAGAGTGCAAGGGGGGGGGATATTCTATAACACCATCATTCACTGTATAATTCCGCATTTCCGCTGCCATTTTGGAGTGTTTTCGCCCGATCTTAGATTCATTTCAGATTGCATCAGTGTCCCACAAACTGGCACGGATCACACCACGGTCGCAACACACAACAGTCGTTTTAAGAGATGCATGCACTTAACCCTCCGTTAACGAGGGAACATTTTATGCCTCGGGAGTCAAGTCTGTCAGTAACCTCAGCTAATAAACCCTTGCCCACTCGCTGTTAACCCCTTTCAAGGGAAATGGAATCGAAAGGGAAACCGACACCGAATGTGTTCTCTCCTTACATGAGCAACAACAAATTAAACGTGGGCAACCTTTTTGTCTGAGTGTGTCCAATTGCAACCAAGGGCATAATTACGATACAGTGCATAAATATGGAAGGAGCCCCCTCACTTTTTGTTTATTTTCTCTGTATCCCCCCTCCCTCAATTTAATTTTTTGGAATTTGTAGAAAGCTGTCTAGTTCGGAAGAGTTTTAAGCATACACACATGTATTTCGTGTTCCTTGGGGAGAAAAGTAGCTTAAAATGTGGTAAGAAATGAAAACCAGAAAATCTGAATAAATAGTCCAAATCATTCAGTTTCCGTACCCAGATGTTTGCAGCATTGGGGTCGACTCAGAAACTGTAGTGCTGAAGGTTAAGTAATTGAAATCTCTTTTTCCCACAATTTTTTTTTGAGAAAGTTGTCATGAATTTAATGAAGACTTTATTTTCCTCTCAGTTTGGACACTGGTTTGAGGAGGTTAATGACCAGTGGTGAAGCTGGTGTCCAATTTGTAGAGAGTGGGGGGGGGGGGGCATCATTTTCTGGAAGGGGAACCCAATGTTTTTTATATTTTTTACAATAAGTTCATTTTTGCCTTCTCTTTTAACAATAACAAGTTCATTTTTGCCTTCTCTTTTAACAATAACAAGTTCATTTTTGCCTTCCTGAATTCCGAATGAGTCACACAAGGGGGGGGGTGGGGAAGGTAGGTATCCTTCCCCCACCCCCTTCATTACACCTCAATAATTTATGTCTATCAAACCCCGTAACATAAGACCAAGTGTATCTCCTTTTTGTTGTGAACTTTAAAGCATTCTAAATATTTCCAGAGCCAGAGGGTTAGCCAAAGCTGATGACGCAACCTAGATATATGAAATGGCTCTGGCTGCGCTCCAAGGAGTGATATTTAATTACGTGCAGATCATTCCATTCAATTCTAATAACCACTCCGGCCTCGCGTGTTGCGTCATTTCTGACTGAACCATTCCCCCCTGCCCCCCGGTTTTAATTAATTGCATATCTCCCATTCCCTTAATTTGCAGATAATGATATATAATTATACCAAGTGACGCATGGCTACAAGTGTAGTTGCAAAACAACTGTTTAAAAATGTGCCAATTCACCATATTTATTAGAGAAATTTATTCAAATTTGATTTAGAGGGATTCTATTTTGATTTAGAGGAATTTACTAACACTGATCAGGCAAAGCAAAAAAAAAAAAGAGTCCACCATTTCTCCTAAACAATATTTGAAAAAAAGAAGAATTGTTTGTCAAAGCAAGATAATTAAACTAGCAATATTAATTACATGCATCTACTAATGACAGAGGACATTGGAATCAGCAGAATATAATGATGTCTGTCATACTGTAAATCATAATTAGTGGGAAAAATGAAGTGTTTGTCTAAGCTTGTTTGATAAAGGGATACAAGAATAGTGCATTGCACTTCATGGGTTGTATGGAATTTAACAGCTACAATGTTGTGTGTATCATTGAGCCTATTTCCCAGTTGACAACTTCAGTAAGCTGCTGCCTGTTTCAAAATTTGACAGTTTGCATCACTGATCTAGTCCGAGTATCACCCGTTGTCCAATGGAGTCCTCTCCGTAAGGCCAAAAAAAATATATATTCGGTCTCTGGTCAGACCAAAGTTCCGGAATTGACGCGGCCACGCGGCTTTTTTTTTTTTTTTCCTGAAGCTTGGATTGTACGACAAGGTGGGTACTATTGGAAAAAAAAAGATCGACGCGCATGATTAAAATCGACGCGCGCGCTGACCAGAGACCGACTTT